AGGATTCAAAGAAGGAAAAGGCGTGAGTTGGTAGAAAGTGAGAGAACACTTCCAAATCCCTTCTCAGCTATCATGTTTGACTTGTATATGAACTAACACAGATGGACCTGAGGATCAATCTATCAGGAGCAATGACACTAACTGTAATCTACAGAAGGGTTTCCAGGTCCAGTTGCTCTTTGGGCCAAGTAGTGATATCAGTATGAAGAAGTCAGCCAGATATTAAGTGGCAGGGAGTGATGGAGCCATGGAAACATTATGCAGCCCCATCTGACAAAACATTGAGATTTAGACATGGATAAGTCACCCCAAGGCTCTGACGCCTGATCTGGATACATAGTGCTCTGCCTTGCAGAGAAGGCCCCTAGGAAAAGACAGAAGTCCCCTTCATTTTTCTGTATTTTATATGTTTAAATAAAATGTGCTTGCAAGTTTAATTTATAGTACTGTCCTAAGTATATAAAATTATTATTTAACATGTAATTGCTAATGAACAATGTATGGCAATTTCTAGCTCTATATGCAAAAGCCTCAGCATCCTAACTTTGGTGAAAACAAAGTCAAGTGAATGAACACCCGAAGTAAGGGAGGGAAAGGCAAAACTCCTGGGCATGTTGGTTTGTTGTCTCTCCATCTCCCTAGGTTGCATTCATTTTTATAGTTCCCTCAAATCACCCGTCCAGCCAAACCCAGAAAACCACAGATAGTGTGCTGTCCCCATCTCTTTGACCTCTATTTGTGAGTGATTTGCTAGTTTATTTAGCCTCCCGTTCCTCTGCTTTATGCCTTATCGTTCTTGGAATATTTGTTTTCCTTAACTAGCCCAGCCAAGTCAGCAGATTCTCCAGATGCTTCCAGGCCACCAGTACTTTCCCCGGTGTACATTTATCCACACTTGATTGTAATTGTCATTTGTAGCCATCACCTCCAGCAAACTGGCAGGAGCAGGATAGAACCTGATTCATAGCAGTTGTATCCCCAACCCCCATTGCCACGCATTTAGTGGTTGGCATTGGATGCATAATTATGAATCACAGAATAAATGAATGAACAAGTAAAGCAGCCTTTCCAGCTAAGTTACTGGCCAGGTGTTCTCAAGTGATTCACATCATACAGAGTCCCCTTAAGGTACAGACAAACCTTAAGTCACAAACTCCCCATGCATGCATCTTCACAATGCCCCTCATTAGGTCGATATTACCATGTTTCTTTCACAAAATGTGTAAATCAATGACCTGAAATATTGGATAAGTTTCTGCATACCACATAGCTGATATATGCCTGACTCCCAGACGCTAACAGGTCCTGGGATCATGCTACCCATTCTCTTCCCCACACTAGGCTGGTCAGAGTTTGGGAGCCCACTGGCCCCTGATGGCAAATATGCTCATGACACTGCTGCCACACTGCTACCACTCCTGCTCCTGTGGCTTAACCATCTCTCAGGAGAAATGGAACCCTGCAGCAGATTCTGGGCCCCAGCTGTCGGGATCCACGATGAAGCCTTTGACCCTGCGTAGAAGCTTCGTTCCACCGAGTGGGATCTCTGAGCACTTGTCATCCCCTCCTCTCGCCATCCCAGACTGCTGCTGCCATTGCCCACTCTCATTAGCACATTTTAAAAACAATTAAAAGGCAATCTCAAGCCTCATGTTAAAGGCTTTTAACTTATTGGAGCAACATTTATAAATATATTTTGATAAATAGAACTGAGTGGTACAGAGAAATAAAAGAAAGAAAGAAAACAAAGAAGAAAGAAAGAAGGAAGGAAGGAA